CATTCCAATCATGTGTATTATCCCACCAAGTTTCAGTGAGAACTGAGAACAGCTGTAATAGCAGTGCTAAAGCCACACAGCTACATGGGTGCATCTGCACTAACATCAGCTTTATTGTGTGGTGCACAGGGGAAACATGCCCACATTTTGCTATTAGCCACCATAGAGAGCTTTGATTTTCACACAGTCTCCAAACACCTTCCCAGCATCCTGAAATCTAAGCAGGAGTCTGAAGGAGCCACATACCTGCTCAAGGTACTTCTGATGTTCTAGAATGAAGACAGAGGAAAAAAGCTCAGTCCACAGTGATGCTAATGAGCATGAATAGCCAATTATCTTTTTGTGTAACTACTTAGTCAATTGTGAACTTTCCTATCATTATCCCTTTGAAATAATTATGGTGATGTACACTTGATTTTATATCCAAGTGAGCCAGGGACTTCTAGAGGTTGCATTCGCCAATTCAACCATTTGGCACTTGCAGATGGGTACCTCTGTATTGTCCCTGATTCTTGTACAGCTATGAAAGGCTGGTAGATGCAGATACTTTCCCCTCTTCTTAACCAGCACTAATTTGAGCCTAGGCTAGGGCTAGGAAGAGAGGAGGAGGGATAGCTCAGTGGTTTGAGCATTGGCCTGCTAAACCCCCGTTTGTGAGTTCATTCCTTGAGGGGGCCATTTAGGGGTCTGGTGCAAAAATTTGTCTGGGGATTGGTCCTGCTTTGAGCAGGGGGTTGGACTAGATACCTCCTGAGGTCCCTTCTAACCCTGATATTCCATGATTCAATAAGAGAGAAAGAGCTGCTGGTTTCCTGCTTTTTCTTGCCTAGTTTCACCTCTGCACTAACTCACTCCTTCCTCCCTCCCTCCCCTCCTCTCCAAGCCTAAATAGCTCTGTTGGTAAAGCATCATACCTTTAATCTGAGGGTCCAGGGTTCAAGTCCCTGGTCAGGTGATGAACTATTCAGCAAGATCTTAAAAATCTCTCTCTTTGGAGTCCTCTTTGATGTAACTTTTTCTCTTCAGGATTTTGCCTTTCCTAAGAAGGGCCTTTTTGCATGTGGGATTGAAGGGGCAACTTCCTGACATTCCCTCTGTTCTCACAGGCTAGAGAAATAAAGGCCTCTGGGCATATAGCATGTTCCTCCCCTGCGCGCGCACACAAAATATCCCTAAGGAATTAGAATCACCTGCTGCCTTCCCCGTCCTGCTAGATCCCCAAATGAGGATGCTCTTCAACCTGAACCCATGTCCCCTCTATTCCCAGTGCCCCTCAGACCCAACCCACAGCCCCTCCTATGCACACTGCTCCTCACTCCCAACCGGAGCCTACCCCCCTTCATTCGGAAGTGGAGTTGTACAAACGATTTTCCTTGGGTCATTGGTCACCATAACTTCCTTTACTGGAGTGGAAAGCAAGAACTGGGTGTGGACTCTTTCAACCCCAGTTCTTTCCAAATCTTTGGCCTTGGTTAGGATAAATTTACAGTTCTCTGAAGTAGAATCCTTTATAAAACCACTCCAAATCTCAGCAGTGTTAGTGAGGAATGGCTTCCCAAAACATGCCCAGTTTTTCTTTAATTTGCTGGCACAGTTCCAGGCAAGGGACTGGATAAAGGCCTGGATCAGAATCTCTGTTAGGTACCAGAGCTGAAGTTTCTATTAAAAAATAGCTATTTTTCTGAAGCTATTAGATTTCCAACACTGATTTCATTTTATACACATTTTTAGCAACTACAAAGGATAAATTCAACAAAACCCACACTTCTATTTCCTCAATATCTGCGTCATGAAGGGCAGCATCTCCCATACCATAGGATTAGCTAGGAGAGATCTTCTGTGGGGCCTGGGTTACAAATGCTTTGGGAACCAAATACATGGGCATTTTGCCTACTTCAAAACCACTTACTGTGGAATTCTCTCCCCAGATCATCTGAGACAATATTGACTTAAACAAATGAACTACACTAGGATCATATGCACTTCCTTCAGTTAGTTGGGGTTCTGCTGTTGTTTACCATTTCCAAGTGGAGATTTTAAATCACTGCTGTTTCTTTGTTAGCAGGTGCAGTACATTGGAGAGTTCTCTCCTGATAACAGAACTGCACTTGAACTTTCTCCATGTTACATGGAGGGATGGGGGAAAAGCAAAGCTGAAGTGAGAAATTATGACTTTAGCAAATGGTCATTTGTTTTAAATTCTCCAATAAATCTGAGCTACATCTCATCAAACTGAACTAATATTCAATTGGGTGACCAAACAGCCTTCAGGAAAGAGAGAAACTCACATCACAGAGAAATAGAATACATGACAATGGAAGGGTAACCGTGTTAGTCTGAATCTGTAAGAAGCAACAGAGGGTCCTGTGGCACCTTTGAGACTAACAGAAGTACTGGGAGCATAAGCTTTCGTGGGTAAGAACCTCACTTCTTCAGATGTCTTGCATCTGAAGAAGTGAGGTTCTTACCCACGAAAGCTTATGCTCCCAGTACTTCTGTTAGTCTCAAAGGTGCCACAGGACCCTCTGTTGCTTATGACAATGGAAGTGTCAAGTGAAATTCCAGAGCAGGTTACATCTGATGACTCAGAATCAGGACAAGAGATTCTCCCATCACATTCTCCTCTGATCCATTCAAACCTGCTTCACTCAGCACTGTCTCAAAAGTCAGTTATGTTATTTACAACGTTTTCAGTAAATTAGTATCTCCATAATGGGGGGAAAAACAGCCACTTTGCCAGAGGTGGCTTTGCCAATAGATGGAACCTGGGATTTAAACTCCAAATGATCACATTGTGTTTGGGATTCATTTGAATTCCCCTCCCAGGTCTTTGATACTTTCATCTCCAGTCATGGTGACTCTGATATAAGATTAAAGAAGTCAAAGCATCATCTCCAAGCACAAACAACAGAGAAAGCTTCATCACATGACACTTTGAGAAGTGGATGGATAGAATGTGATGAAGATAAACTCTTCATGGCTCAGACAAAAGGTAAGAGTTTTGTGGTGATGGGCAAGGAGGGAATCTCAGTTACTCCATCTCCTTACAGTGTCACAGAGGCTGAAATGACACATTTTTTCGGGCCCCTGCTTCTCTTCAT